TCACTATACCTAAACCTTATTGACTGACTGTATATCTTATTTAAGTTAAGTACGACAAAAACTTTCGAAGTACTTCATATACATATAAGCTTAAAAAGAACTGAATTTACTTTAAATGCTTAAATTTTGACAAGTAAGACAAAAAGAACTAATATTTTTACTTTTAAGCAGAACGCACTTTTGTTTTTAAGTACTACTTAAGTTTAATACTACTACTGCTACTAATGTGGTTTATAAATTTTTACTAAATGCGTTTAAACATTTGTGATTGTATTGTCCTTCCTTCAACCGATCGTATTCAATATAGAAGGGAAATGTTTCGACAAGCCTGATTAGAAATGTAGATCTAAGGGGACGAATTTATAACAGGTTGGGAACTATAAAAAATGGATGCAGATCGAACTAGATCTCATCTGTCGAATTAGGAAATGGTTTGGAACTAAAGAAAAGGGGATGCAGAACGAACTAGATCTCATCTGTCGAATTTGGAACTGGTTCGGAACTATAGGAAAAGGGATACAAAACGAACTAGATCTTATCTGTCGAATTTAGAACTGGTTCGGAACTAGAGCCAAAGGGATGCAACGGCGGACAATTGGCACTTCCTAGGACATCGCGATGTTAAATTCGCCAGTCGCTAGCATGCAAAATAGAATTAACGCGTACTAGTCATGGTTCCAAACGCACTACAACCGAACCAGTTCCTAGTTCGTTTCCCTACAGGTCCACCTAAGCATTTAGATTGTATGAAAACGTAATCATTAATTCAATAAAACAACAGTGTTCGAACTTGGCGTAATCGCTATTATTCTGAACATTCTGGTGGTCATAAGGAGCCACAAAACTAAACTAAAAGAATGAAAAATGTATCGTTTCGAGGATTTGGCCAGACAACAAAGAGAAACGGGCGGCAATATTGAATCAATTGTCCGAAACTTTAAAAAGGACCCGCAATCCCGGAAGCAGTAAGTCAGCTATTACGAAGAACGATTGAGAAGGCTGGACAGCGAGTGGTCGAAGTTTGAAACAACTGACAACAAACTTCGACTGCTTTAAAACCCCCAGCTGGATCACGACTACTTTACAAAGGACTACTATAACAATATAATGGAAATTATAAATCAGTACAAGGAGATTTTCGAGTCCGCAGTGCTTCAATTGGCTCAAACCCCGACGAGAGAATTGCGCTTAATGACTGATGAAGGAAGTACGTACCAACATGATGCTTCAGCTTCAAAAGTCAACACAGAAGCACGGCGTGATACTGGAACCAAACAGGCAGCTTCCAACGAGTACACTAAACTAGTTCGCAGACAAGGGGTAATGATGGTCTCGTTGCGACGGTTACTGAAAGACAACGTTTCACCACAATGTGTTCCAATAATTAATAAGCTGTGGGAAAATATAGAAACCATTCACTTCAGGATATATGAGATGTTCGACAACCCAATCGAGCAGGGCTACAAGGTCAATAACTTCATTTCACTTGAAGAAAAGGTATGGAGTACTTTGCAAGCAGCTAAAAGTGACTCCCATACTGAGCGATCTTCAAACCAACTTCCGATTAAACTGCAATCCATTTCATTGCCGAAGATAATAATTCCAAAATTCGATGGCACCTATTTAAAATGGCAATAATTTCATGACCTATTCTCGCAACTGGTAATAAATCAACCTCTTTCAAAAGTTCAGAAACATTTCGCATCAACAGGAGAGAATTTTGATGCAGCTTGGCTCATGCTTCTGGAGCGTTACAACAACAAACGCTTGCTGGTGTGCAAGTTAGTACATGAGCTAACTACTACACCTGGAAGCACATCAATGGACAATGTCAAAAAACTGCATGACACAACACAAGAATGTCTATTAGCATTGCAAAATTTGCAGATAGACACATCAACATGGGATCCACTTCTGCTCCCCCTTCTACTAAAGAAACTGGATCAACCGACTCCTTTGCGGTACGAACAATCGTTATCAAAGCCACGGGAGGTACAAACACTCAAGGAATTCCTGCAATTTGTGGAGAAACACTTTCAATCCATGGAAGCGATGATTGGCAAAGACAAATCTACAAGCTCAACTGCAAAGGTGTTCACTTCAGTCACATCCAAAGGTCATAGAAATGACACTTGCAGCATGTACAAAAAAGGAAAACATCCATTATTTTCTTGCAAGGAATTTTTACAACAGTCTCCATCGGCACGTTTTCAGTTCATACAAGAGCAGAAATATTGCCACAATTGCCTAAAACCAAAAAGGATGTGGGCAAAGACATTACATCAGTAGCCACTTCAACACAAGGCAACGAATCGCAAATCAACGCCATCAAAAGACGAAGCAGCGTCACTTACCACCGCAAAGCACACAAAGTCAAACACATATGTACTACTCAGTACTGCCATGGTGAAAGTTAGAGGAATCGGAACAGAAGTGCAGTGTCGGGCAATTCTCGATTCAGGCTCACAAGTTAATTTTGTGACTGAACGATTGGTTAAACGTCTTGGCATCTCAGCTAAACCATCATCAATCTCCATTAGTGGCATCGGGTCGAGGAGTACTAAGATACAGCATCGAGTCAATCTCTGTAGGGAAACGAACTAGTGCGGAACTGGTTCAGTTCTAGTGCGTTTGGAACCATGACTAGTACGCGTTAATTCTCTTTTGCATGCACTGGCGAATTTAACATTACGATGTCCTAGGAAGTGTCAATTGTCCCCCGTTGCATCCCTTTGGCTCTTGTTCCGAACCAGTTCCAAATTCGACAGATGAGATCTAGTTCGTTTTGCATCCCCTTTTGTTTAGTTCCAAACCAGTTCCTAATTCGACAGATGAGATCTAGTTCGATCTGCATCCATTTTTTATATGTAGTTCCCAACCTGTTATAAATTCGTCACCTTAGAAATATATTTCTAATCAGGCTTGTCGAAACATTTCCCTTTTATATTAAATACGATCGGTTGAAGGAAGGACAATACCATCACAAATGTTTAAACGCATTTATTAAAAAATTATAAACCACATTAGTAGTAGTAGTAGTATTAAACTTAAGTAGTAAGTAAAAAACAAAAGTGCGTTCTGCTTAAAAGTAAAAATATTAGTTCACTTTGTCTTACTTGTCTAAATTTAAGCATATGGATTTTTAAGTAAATTCAGTTCTTTTTAAGCTTATATGTATATGAGGTACTTCGAAAGTTTTTGTCGTACTTAACTTAAATAAGATATACAGTCAGTCAATAAAGTTTAGGTACAGCGAAGTTTTTACAATACCGGCAACTATTTTTTAAATATTTTATTTTTCCCTAATTTTTTATAAAAATATGGTTAGTTCTACACCAAAAACCCCAAAAATCAGAGTTCCAAACCTTATGTAAAATTAAAGAAAACTCCGAAAATTTCCATCCAAATATTGCAATTTACACTCTTTAGAAAAAAGTTAAGTACGCAGTTTTTTAGCCCATTCAATTTTAGTATAACAAAGTGCAAGTTTGAGGTAGCTAGGACTTACCATTGATATTTAGAGCAATTTTTTGGTGTTGTTTGGTAAGTCCTAGCTTCCTCATACTTGCACTTCATTATACTAAAATTGAATGGGCTAAAAAACTGTAAACTCAACTTTTTGTAGAGAGCGTAAATAGAAAGTGAATTACTTTAATGAAATTTTGCAGAATTTTCTTAAATTTTGCACAAGATTTAGAACTCTGATTTTTGGGGATTTTGTTGTAGAATTGACCATATTTTTATAAAAAAAATACCGAAAACTAAAATATTTAAAAAATAGTTGCCCGTATTGTACAAAATTCGTTGTACCTAAACTTTATTGACTGGCTGTATTAAGGTAGCTTTGCTGGATTGCAAAAAAAAAAATTAATTTGTCTTTTCTTAAAAAAGGTAGCTCCGGTGGCTTGCATTTTTAAATAAATTTAGTGAGAAAGTGATAATAAGGGTACTCATCTATTCGCGCAACTTTCATATTTGGGCAATTGGGCAACTTTGCGCAGTGTGTTTCATGAGGAAAATTTTATATTCTGTGCAATTTCAGACATTTAATTATTTGACAATGCTCAATTTATAAATATGAACAATTTAAACTCGAATTTAAGAAAATATTTAAGTCTTATGAAAAAGCGTTGAGCACAAATCAAAATTAAATTAAACAAAATAGTTGATTGAGGGTTGCACATCACACTGCGCAAATTTGCGCGACAAACTTTCCACGCAAACTTGCCCTTTTTGTGCAAATAGCTTTCCATACAAATTTTGACATTTCATTTGCGAGGGTTTTAAATTGCACAGTTTGCCCAGTTTGCGAGAGTTTTGCGCTTTTAAATGAGTACCCTGTACTCATTGAACTAGAAATCTGGTTCACTAGTTCGTGTTTTCCCTACAGAGATGTGGCGCTACAGACTCGGATCAACAACTTTACAACGCGGCTAGAGGCAGCGGTATTGCCGCAGATTATATCCCCGCAGCCATCGCAAGAAATCAAGATCGACGAATGGCAAATACCTGAGAACATCATGTTAGCCGATCCATCATTCAATCGTCCTGACAAAATTGATATATTGTTGGGGGCGGAATTCTACCACCAACTGATGGCAGCAGGGCAAATCAAACTGTCAGATGACCTACCCATACTGCAAAATACAGTGCTGGGATGGATCATCGCGGGAAAAGTTGGTGGCAACTACATCTCAAATGCAATATGTGGAATCTGTACCAACGATGACATCAATTTAGATGCAGCCATTGCTCGATTATGGGAACTTGAGGATGTTGCAACCGTAAGAAAACAACATTCCGTAGCAGAAAAACAGTGCGAAGCTCATTTCGCACAACATATACTCATCAATGAAAATGGGAGATTCATGGTAAGGCTACCATTCCATGAAAATCCGGAGGCCTTAGGGGAATCCTATGCGATGGCGTAGAATCGATTCCTGGCCTTAGAACGTCGACTGGCAAAATCGCTCCAGACAAAGAATCAATATGTACAATTTATGGAGGAATATGAGAACTTGGGGCACATGACGCAAGTGGATATTGATTCCATCATTAAACCTAGCTACTTCATTCCTCACCATTGCATTGTGAGACCCCAAAGCCGCACTACAAAATTACGTGTGGTGTTCGACGCATCAGCAAAATCGTCCACTGGCATGTCTTTGAACGACCTCATGTATACCGGACCCACTGTTCAGAGCGAGCTTTCCACCATTTTACTTCGCTTCCGTTTGCCCAGGTTCGTCTTCACCACAGATGTAGAAAAAATGTATCGACAGATTCTCATTCAACCGGACGAGCGCAAATTCCAACTTATCATCTTGCGAAAGGATTCAAGCCTACTAATAAAGCATTATCAGCTAAATACAATCACATATGGGACAAAATCTGCACCATATTTCGCCAACAAATGTTTGCAGAAAATTGCAAAAGAAAATGCATTACAATATCCTCTTGGTGATGAGTTTCTACAGGACAATTTTTATGTAGATGACGGAATTGGTGGGTCAGACAGCTTAACTACGACGATGGAAATCCAACAGCAACTGATACACATTTTAAAACAACGTGGTCTTAACCTAAGAAAATGGTGCGCCAATCACTCACAATTACTGCAAAATGTTGGCATGGAGGAACAAGAAGTTGACATAGACTTTGACAATGACATCAATCAAACTATTAAAACGTTGGGGTTAACATGGATACCTAATTCGATTCTGCGTAAAGGTATGCCTTGGGAGCTGTAGTCTTGCAACGAAACGCTCAGTCAGCGCCGATCTTGCAAGGCTCTTCGATCCGTTGGGGTTACTAGCACCAATTGTAGTCATGGCAAAAATGTTTATTCATGATCTCTGGCAACTGAAACTGACATGGGATGAAGCATTACCAGCCGATTTGAATGAGAGATGGACCACATTTCGAAATGATTTGCAAAAATTGGACAACATGCAAGTTTCACGGCACGTGTTTGAAGGATACATCTTAGCAAAAATTCAAATTCATGTCTTCTCTGACGCATCAGAAAAGGCGTATGGTGCTGCGATTTACACTAGATCCGAGATGGATGAAGGACGTGTACAAGTAAGGCTGCTCTATGCAAAATCACGTGTGGCACCCTTGAAACGGCAAACTATTCCTCGGCTTGAGCTCTGTGCATCAGTACTGGGTTCTCAACTAACTACAAGGGTCAAATCAGACCTTAAGCTGGACGATGTGGCTACATACTTTTGGACTGATTCACAAATCGTGTTGGCATTGGAATTAACTCATCCTCAGCATACCGTATAGCTGTTATTCATGAAAACACTACCGCTGAATAATGGCGGCATATAAGCTCAAAAGACAACCCAGCTGACATTATATCACGAGGACTGCCGCCGGGGAGACTAGAAACCTGCAATATGTGGTTTTATGGGCCAACAATCTTACTTGGTAAAGAAGACACTTGGCCTTCAAAGTATTCCAAGGCATTATCAGTAATCGACGAAGGTATCAACATGGAACAGAAAAGGGTGACATCAGTCGCTGTTGCAACCACTGGACATGAAGGAAGCGTACTTTATAGCATTCGACACAATGGCTCTTTCAAAACATTACAAAGAGTGATAGGCTACATGCTGAGATTTATCAACCAGGCCAGAAACCAATCGCGGCAGTCAGATATTTCCTTGGCCGTACACGAATTGGATTGTGGTAATCATTCGTACAATGCAGCAATTGGACTTTGAGGAAGAGCTTAAGCACCTTAAAAATACAAAGAAGTTCGCAAAAACAGTTATTTCCGCAGCCTGTCACCGTTTCTGGACAATAATGGCATTATCCGAGTTGGAGGGCGTCTACAAGCATCAGAACTTGCATACGATGCCAAACACCCTATGTTAATTCCACATAACAATTCACTCGCCAAATTACTAGTACAAATGATTCATAAAGAAAACCGTCATTGTGGACCTCAAGCGCTCTTAGCTTACACAAGGCAAAGATTTTGGCCTATTAAGGGAAAATTTCTGACGCGATCAATTGTGTAAGATGCACCAAAGCTAAGCCAAAACTAATGAGTCAAATTATGGGGAGCTTGCTTTTAACAAGAGTAACTCCAGCAAAACCATTCATCAACTCAGGCGTGGACTTCTGCGGGCCATTTTGGGTTCTCTTCAAAATAAGGGAAAAGAAACCACAAAAGGCCTATGTAGCGGTATTTTTCTGTTTTGCCACAAAGGCAGTGCATTTGGAATTAGTCAGCGACTTAACGACGGATGCATTTATTGGTGCCTTAAAATGACTTATAAGCCGAAGAGGACATTGTCAAAATTTATTGTGACACCGCAACTAATTTTGTAGGCGCGATAAACCAGCTTTCTGAACTTACTGACGTTGTTTATGGAAACTCATCACGAGAATCAATGGTAAAGCAGTGCAGTGCATTTCATTTTATACCTCCTAGGACTCCACATTTTGGCTGTTTATAGGAAGCAGCGGTAAACTTAGCTAAGCATCTACTAATAAGAAGCACCTCGACAGCGTCCTTAACGTATGAAGAATTGGACACGGTAATCATCGAGGTGGAAGGAATCCTAAATTCCAGACCAATCAGCCCAATGTCCGACAATTCTATCGATCTAACAGTTTTAACTCCAGGCCACTTCCTCACAGGAGAACCCCTTAATGCCCAAGTTGATCCAACGTGTAGGCCACAGCAAACAAATTTATTAACAAGATGGAAACTTGTTTCTCACCTCGAACGCGAGTTTTGGAATCGGTGGTCCCGCGAATATTTATCGGACTTTCAGCTGCGAAATAAGTGGAAGGCACAACACAACAACATCAACGTAGGTGACATGGTGATCATCAAAGTAGACAACGCACCGGTACTGCAGTAGCCATTAGGAAGAATCATCAATGTATATGAAGGAAACGACGGTGTAGTGAGAGTGGCTGATGTAAAAACTGGTAGTGGCACTTGCAAGAGGCCTATTCATCGGCTTATACCCTTGCCCAAGGAAACAAATGATGCCACAGAGCGACCGTCACGCAACAATCTGCTTGAGGAAGACAAAATTCCATCAAGGAGGAATAATCCTTCCTTACACCAAGGACTTGCTACACTTCTGATTACCTTACTCATCTTACCATTGGCTTTAGGAGCTGAACTTCAAAATAAGCGATTTGGATCAAGGCTTGGCATTCATTTTGAAAGAATAGACTCAACAGCCATATCAACCTAAATATCTACTATGACATGGAAGGATTTTTGGTAGAACTAGCAGCGTTGTCAAATGGCACAAGGGCCCTGCGCCATTTATCTCAAGAAATCACACGAAAAAGCTTATGTCTTTCCCTGGTAGCACATCTTGAACAGACTGAAAAAGAGTTGCAGCTAGACTACGCAATAGTAAAA